ATAAAGATGTTCCCAGACAAAAATAAGCTAAAGGAATTTATCAGCACCATGCCAGTATTACAGGAAATGTTGGAGGGACTTCCTTAAGAAGAAAAGCATGTATCAAAAACAGGAATAAAGAATGGTAAAAGCTACATTCCTATCAATAAGTACGTCAAATGGAAAAGAATTAAGTGCTCCAACCAAAAGATAGAGTGGCTAAATGGATAAAAAAAGAAAAAAACCTGCACATATGCTGCCTACAAAAGACTCACTTCAGATTAAAAGAAACACAGATACTAAAAGGAATGGGACAAAAAAAGATATTGCTTTGATGGCCCTAGAAGGTATTTAAGTCAGACAGAGAAAGATAAACACTATATGATTTCACTTATATGCAGAATCTAAGGAATAAAAAGAACAAACTAATCAAAAACAGACTCACAAATATAGTGGACAATTTGGTGATGGACAGAGGGGAGGGGGTTTTGGGATGCTGGGAGAATGAGGTGAAGTGTTAAAGAAGTACAAATTAGTACCCGATGGATGGTCACAGGGATGGGGGGCATGGCATAGGGAATGCAGTTAGCATTAATACATTGGCTAGGTGGAGGGTCAGGGGAGGAAGGGAGCTATTGAGGTGATCGTTTTACGAACTATATAGATGTCTAACCAATGTGCTGTATACTTAAATCTAATTAAAATAAGTAAATTTTTTTTAAAGGCTTTATATAAAGCTAGATGCTTTATATAAACCAAGACGCTTAGATGCCATCTACAGGAAACCAAAAGAAAAATGCCTTCTTTGCAACAGGTAGAGAGAGAACTTTATATAATAAAACTTTCTGGAAAAAGCAGCAGAATACACTTCCATTAATGCTCAGGCAGAGAAATAGTCCATTAAACACCATGAACAACCAAGATGACAAGGAAACTCAGAAAGAAAGTGAAATATCTCCAGAAAATAAGCTTACATGCATAGAAATATGCAGCTTAAATGACAGAGAATTCAGGATGATACTTCTGAAAAAACTCAATGAGTTTAGAAACGAGTCATATCAACAATTTCAGGAATTGGAAAAACTAGATGAGCAGAGCAAAGAGATTGCCACCCTTAAAAAGAACAGAAT